GGCTTCAATTGAGCTAACGCCCAAGATACCAAGCCTATTTATAATACCTGATTTACCTGAAGTTTCAACCTCTCCCAGAAACATAATCTGAATCAACCAACCTCGAATTCCCTGGTGAAGCACCAGTAAGGTAATTTGTCACAATTGCCCTCTCCTCATCTCCCCTTTCCCAAAGGAACAAGAGGCAATCTGCATGATAAAACCCTTGCCATTCCCTTCCACCCAAAAGTTAAGATGTTCTGCTCTAGAAATAATCCATTAAATCCAACCCATTTGTTTTCCTTTACTAAAAACTCCCCTGCCACATCCCTCTTCCCATAAAAAGCTTCTATTTGTGCAACCCCTTGGAGTATCTCCCTGCCTGCCAGCAGAGATGCCGTCCAATTTAATTGTTTAAAGCCAGCGAGATCTCCAAATTTACCAAGTTGAATTTTGTTGTTTAACACTAGGTCATGCTGTAGTGTAGGTACTGACAGTTGTTTGTTTCTTTTTTTAATGCAAGTGCCGGGTTTAAACTGTGGTGGCAGAGGCATAAACTTCAAAGAAGCATCTACTTCAGTGATAGCTGGATGGAATGAACATGTTTCCAGCAACAAGACTTAAAGAGCCAGGCTGCCTTTCCTCCTTCTGGGACTGAGGCTCCTTTGCTTAAGAGAGCTTCATTGATTTCAGTATGCGACCATTTGGGCCACGTGTTTGTTTGTTTATTTTTTCCCTTCACGAGCTTTAAACTCTTAACTCTTACTTTAGATTTAAATCACCAGGAACAATTAAGTCCAGAAACCCTAGGCCCCATCCTCAACCCTAATTAAAACAGAAGCCCAGGCCCATGCCCCTTCTCGGCCTCCCTACCAGAGAGGTTCCAGGTGTGCTGCGTAATTTTCAGGTCCTGTAGATAATAAACCTTTATTTTTTCAAAGTTTCCTGATGGTTATTGCAAAAGAGTGTCTTGTGATCAGAATAAGAACAAGAGCCAGTCCAACAACAACACTGGTTATTGATAGGCTGAGATCGGCACAAAATAAAACCTTGTTTTGTTCAAGGTCACGGCCAGTATTTTGGGGAAATGCAGACTCATGGGTGGTTATGAAGATCACTTATAATTATATATTGATGAGACAAGCTTTTTTCAGTAGCAACACCAAGAATTTAAGCAAAGAGATACAGATTCTCAAAGTGGCCAACGAAGAACTAAAGGTGGCCCTGACTAATGTGATTCAGTTGGTTGGGCACCGTCTGGAAAAGTAAAAGGTGGCTGGTGAGATTCCAGGTTAGGGGGGGCGCATGCCTGGGCCGTGGGTTCATCCGGGGCACTAAGAAAAGCAACCAGTCCATGTTTCTCTCTCACATGATGTGTCTCTCCCTCTCTTCCTCCCTCCCCTCTTTCTAAAAATAAAGAAATAAAATCTTATAAAAAGAAAAGAAAGAATGTTGTGGACCGCTCCGCCTGGTTTCAGTAATTGTAACCCTAACATCCCCACCCCCCACCCCATGGCTAAGAATGAGTAATTGACCTCTGGAATGTGAGCCACTGGAGACAAGGCTTGTCTCTGGTAGCAAACGCTGCCTCAGTTTCCTCCCTGCCCCCAAAGCATGCTATGAAGTCCATGATGGGTAAGTCTCCTCACAGTGGGGAGCAACCTAAGCCAAACTCGACCACTTGGGAGGCCTTCATGGAAGGACTGGGAGGGGCGGTGCAACAAAGAGTGAGCAATAGATTCATGCCTCCTGGCTATGTGACATGGCCTGAGTCCCCATGTCCTCTGGGAGAGGCGCTTCCTGGCTCTAATCCCCTTAAGCCTGAAAACCTGTAATGGGGGAGGCACTGCAGCTCCTTGCCTGGCTAGAGTGGGATCCCAGGGGGAAAAATCTGGCATCACAAAGACTTTCTGATAAACCTGTGAAATCTGCTCTGCTAAGAGTTCTTTCATTCATATGATAAGGGTCCGAGCAGGAAATGAGTACGTCTCCCAAAGTTTCTACAACCCCCTTTCCCGACAGACTCTGACTCAGACTAAGCCCTCAGATTTCTTTGAAATGTTATCCACTGTTTGATCCTTGCTGCCCTATACTCCTGTGTGTTACAACCCCAAAAAAGCCCTTGGAGGAAGGGGCTCAATGCCTTTTTCCCTTCAGAAACTGGCCACTGCTCAAGGCCTTTTTCCTCGGAGAAACTGGCTACCTCTCCTCCCCAAGGAGATGATGTCTCAGTCTTGTTTACTTTCACCTGTGGCAGATGGGGGAACTTTCGAAAAATGTTGCCCCCACAAAAGAGTACTTCTTTTATTAGAAGACAATTTATACATCGTAATTTATACAAAGAAAAGGGGAAACAGTATTCAAATTATTCTTGATTTTTTAATAAAGAAATAAAATATTTAATTCTCAGTGTTTCTAAAATGTAAATTATAATGTACTAAATAAATATTAGTTTGACTGTTTTTGTTTTTTTTTATCGTTTTCCTAGAGAGTAAGAACGTTTTCACAACTGACAGCTAGAGAGCACTTAAAGTTCTGGCCAAACAATGTTAAGGTCGTGGAATAATCATATGTTTTCTGGTGAGTTGTTGATATGGTTTTGTATGGTTTTGACATGTATGATCATGTTCACATTTCTGCACTGCTGTGCAAGAGTGAGACCTAGCTCTACCTGAGAACATGTTTGACATGCCCACACATCCGAAAAAGTTTGCTGTATATAAAATTCTGGATTCTAAGTTTTCTTCCTTTAATAGTTTGAAAACCTTACTCCATTCCTTTATTGTAGCCATGAGTGCGGTTGAAAAATCTAATGGTAATCTGATATTTGTTCCTTTGTATTTGATCTGTTCTTCTCTGTAAGCTTTTAGACTTTTTTGCCTTTTATATTCTTAAATGTCACTAAACTGTTTAACGGTGCATTTTTTGCTGACTTCTCTTTGACAGTTCTTTTCACCTTTTTTTTTTATTTCAAAAATTTATCTTTTCTTTTTTTCAATATTTTCTCTTCTTCTTCCTCTCTCCTCCTTTTCTGGAGCTGCTATTTCCATCCCCCACAGCTTTCAGCTTTTCCTTTCCCACTTTTCTTCATTAGTAATTGCAGCCACTTTTCAGATGCCTTTCCCATGATGCTCTCCTCCCTTTGTTAAGTTCTCTCTCCTAGAGGTTTTGTGTGTGAAAAGTGACATAAATGGAGCCATGACAAAATGGAACCAGAGCTGCCATTCCAGCGGAACCGCCTCATCTGCCTTGCTTCTGTAACCATTGCAACGTTACAGCTGGGTCAGACCTTTGGATTGGGATGAACGAACATTGTCTCACAAACTGTTGTTTGTGAAGCCTGCAGAATAGTGGACACCTTAACCACAAGGACTGATGATAACGGACTCTATCTGAAGACAGAATGAAAAAACAATCATCTATAGCCAAGAGTAGCTCAGCTTATAAGCACCTATAGGAATTCATACTTCCTTTCATGTACTTATTCCTTTCCTTTTCTCATGAGAACCCTTCACCTGTAATTGGGACACCAATGGGATTTTTGCCTGGAGCTGTGCTCCGGAATTGCAATTCTTTGATCCCAGATAAACACTTATTGCCTCTCATTTTGGATTTTTCATTTTAGGTGACCATGTGCAAAGATCCAGAAGTTCATAATCATTCATTTGCCATTTCCTGAGAAGAAAAGGGAAAAGTACAGGAGGTAGGAGTGTAAGATGATCAGGGACACAAAGTAGCAAGCAACATGGAAATGTAGAGGAAGCATATGCCAAACAAAGGGACAGCGGGTACCAAGGCCCTGAAGTAGAACTGAGCTTGGTGTCTTTGAGAAAGACCAGAGGGCCAGTGTGGCCAGAGTGACATATATATGCAGCTCCAACTTGCCCCTCGTACGTATGTCTGGTGCTGTTTGGGAGAAGCATCAGGATCCATAAATGGTATGGTGTGGGCCTGTATTCAAAAAGCCGGCCACTGGTTGATACAGACTTCAGTTTGTTAGATGCCATTTACATCACCCAAAAAGATGCCTGGAAATGAGCTCAATACTGGGCTTGATGTTGTTACAATGCCCTGTAGCTCTGCATATGGGTTAGATACACTATTCGTCTTTGGCAAAAATACAGAAGCAATAGAAGGAGCAAGAAGTGGCACAATGTGGGTGGAAAAAACAATGGTTTTGGAGACAGGTGAAGGCTCTGTAGACAAAAGATATAAATTTGAACCTGAACTCTGCCACTAAATAGCTGTGAATTAACCTTATGTAAATTCATAACTCCTCTGAGCCCATTTCCTTAACTTGGAATGGTAACAGCAGTTTCTTTGTAAGGTTGTATGAGTACTAAAATCGTATGAATTCTGTGTTTTACACAGTGCCAAGTAAATAGCCACTTCATTATTAACTGGTAGACTAGATTGACAAGGTCTGTCACTTGGACAAGATCGTCCTTTTGGTCAAACCTCAATTTTTCCATCTGTAAGATGGATATGTTATCACCTATCTGTCAAAATTGAGAGTTGAGCATGGGTACTGCTTCGGACTCAAATGAACCACCAAAGACATTCCTGGGACAGACTGACAGCTAGCTGGAAAGAGCTACACACCTAAATCCTATATTTTGCTAGGTGATCTGGTTAGACCAAGCCTTTTTGCTTTTTAATAAATATTTACATTTTTGGCTTTGGGAATAAGAGTTGCACCTGGCTAATGATCATCTCAAATCTTTCGTTATTTGCAAGTTGAGGATAGTAATCTCTAATGTACAGGAGTGAAGTGAAAGCTAGAGGTATGTTCATAAGATGCGTGGGGTAAAGCTGGGTACGGTTGGTGGTGGAAATGGTGTCCGTTATTATTTTTATCATTGGCATAAACAAATTCCTCCAGCAGAGAACGGGATTGACAGCAAGCTGGGGGCTGTGCACCACGGAAAGACTCAATCCTTCCCCTCATTTCAACTTCCTTTTCCCGGAGCCTGCTTTTCCCTCTCTGCCCATCAGTTGGCGCCTTTTGCCTTCCCCGTTTCCTCAGGCTGGCTTTGGGGATTGCGGTCGTCCCGCAGCTCACAGGTCGCATGGAACTGCGCTGCGCCGGAGTAGGTGAGGTTTCTTTAGGCGCATCGCCAAACTGCGCTGTGCCTGCGCCTCCGGGGCTTTAGGGTCCCGCAATGGCTCCTTCAGGGGATTGATTCGGCCAGACTAGGCGACACCAGAGGCGATGGCCCTTCGAGTGCGCAGGGGATGGAGCTGACCGCCCCCACTCGGTAGGATTCCACTGCGCACGATTTTCCCAGTCCCTTTGGCATCGCAACAGGATTAGGGGTGGCCGCAGCTGGCACAGTGAGCAGCTGCTGGGACTGGCGCAACCAGGAAGGGCCTGCGCCCTGGATCGTGCGCTCTGGGTAGGGGGGCTCCACTGTGGCCAGCCCGGGGCGCCGGTAGCTTCTTTCCACAAGACTGCGGGGCCTCGGAAGGGCGTCCCCCTGCGCGGCAGAGGCTGGCATAAGCACGGGGATGAATGAGCATTGCTGCGAGGGCGCTTCCCTTACCCTTCACTCTCTTCGGCTGCGCCGCAAGGCCGACAGAAAGGCGCCAGCCCGGAGTGCGCGAGTCAAGGTAAGACGCCCCGCATTCCCGCCCTGCTCCTGCCCAACCTTGCCGGGCTGTCTAATGGCCGTTCGCAAGCCGAGAGGGTCTGCCTCACATCCACCCCTCTGGCCTTCCGGGCACCCCTCCTAACGCGCTGCTTTGGTGACGGCGTCTGCGGGTGACCTAGCAGCGCCGGGCCGAGAAAGGGAGACCAGGCAAGGAAAGGCGTCCCTCGGAAAGACCAGGCAAAGGTAGCCAGCGTGGCAATGAAGACCGTTAGCCTTGGCCTTGGGGAAACTGAGGCCCAAGCTCAGCAGTTACTGCCCAAGGTCTGCGGCAGACGCTAGATCCCGGATTCTGGCCTTCCTCTCCCATTTTCTTCCCATGAGGGATAAGTAGGACCACCCCGGTTAGTCTTGCCCTCTTCCTGGCCTGGGCGCGAGTGTTGCCGGTGTCGCCGGTGTCGCACTGCGCCCACAGTGTTCCTGCAGGGTGGGTGTGACCTGGGCATCCCCTGCTGCTCCCTTATTCCTCGCTGGGGTCCGCAGGGCGGCTCCAGTGAACTAACTCACTGTGCAGAACATTAACGAAACCCGTGCACGTATTTCCGCTGGAGAACTAAACCTTTTAAGGGGAAATAGCTTCTTTTAGGGGTGCATTTCTAGAGTGCACTGAACCTTGTACTTTGAAAGATGAAAAGAGAGACAACTATGTGTGTCTAACACCTAACATTATTAAAATTATTAGAATTTGTTAACGGAAAAGTTTATTACAAAAGAGGTAACAAAAATGTAAAGGGAAAAATACAGATAATGTAAAACTTCATCTTCCAGATGGCTGAGATTTTTCTGGGTATCTTAAAATGTTCTCTGCATATACACATTTCATGTAATAACATGGACAAAAATAGTATCTTCTTTTACTTTACATGTCTGATTACCCAGGGGAAATCAACACCTTTACCAATGTGGTTTGGCTTTTTGCATTTGTGTGGGTGAATTGACTGTTAATTCTGTTGCCCTCTTTTCGGCTGAGTTTCTGCTTGCGACTTTTAAGCGTTATTTATATATTACACATTAAAGTAGTGATTCTGTTGTTTATGTTGTACCGTCTTTCTCAGTTTCTAATGTTTTGTCAGTTTTTCATCTTTGGCCGCATGCATACAAGTTTACCTTTTTTAGTTACTAAAATCTGTTCTTCTTTATGGTTTATGCTTGAGGGCCTTGCTTGAAGGCCCTTTCCTAACTCAAGTCTACATAAATATTATCCTGTCATTTTTCATGTACTTTAAAGCTTCATTTAAAAGTTTTAATGTGGAATTTATTCTAGGTTGAGTTGGAGAGCAGAGCTAATTTACTTTTCCTGAATGGTTAACCAGTTGCAGCCCCACTGTTAAGCCTATCTCTTTTTACTCCTGATTTCAATTGTTACAATTATAAGAGATTAAATTATTGCATATTTATATCTGTGGATTTTTGCATCTTTTTCAGTATATGTTGGTGCTGGGGCACCAAATTTTAATTACTGAAGGTTTATAACAGGTTTGATGTCTGATTTGGCAGATTCTTTCTTATTACCCGGGGTCATCATTTTCCTTGGTTAAAAAAAAATTAAGGTATAATTTAGTATTGAGGTATAACTTACATGCAGTAAAATGCACAATTTAAATGTATTATTTTGATGAAATTTTGTCAGCTGTAACCACCCTCTCAACTAATAAAATTATGGAGTACTACCTAATGTCATCATTGCACAGCGCCACAATACTTTTCAATATATCCTTCCAATCTGTATACAGGCCACCAAAGTGAGCGTTTCCTGGAAGTTTTTATTAGGGCTGACTCCAGATGATCTTTAGAATACTTTGGTTGAGGGAACCAACCTCTCCCTACTCCACCAAAATAAAACCATGTTTGGATTTCCACTGGATTTTTGATAACAAGGGTCATGTCCACCCTCCCAGTACCTGACACAGGACTCAGTATTCGTTAAATTGAACGTTTAACAGTCATAAAAGCAATACATGCTTTTTGCAGAAGTATAGAAAGCAAAACAGGAAACCTCCTTCCTTACCTCCATCTCTCCTTCACCCAATTGTACTCCTCATTTAAAGTACAGTGACCATACTATGAATATTTCTCTACAATTTGCATTGACATAGTTGGCATTTTCCCTGTAGAGACTTTTTACATCTGCTCAGTTGCTATCACAAATTACTATAGACTGGGTAGCTTAAACAGCAGAAACAATTCTTGCAGTTCTGGAGGCTGGAAGCCTGAGACCAGGGTGCCAGTAGTTGGGTTCTGGTGAGGCCTCCTTCCTGGTGCACAGATGGCCCCTTTCCTGCTGTGTCCTCACTGGCCGTGCACAAGCAAGCTCTGCTGTCTCTTTCAAAAGCACTGATGTCAGCTGGAGAGCTGCAGGGACAGGCCCTAGTTACCTCCCAATGACAGGATTTCCAAACACCATCACACCCGCGCGAGGATCAGGGTTTTAACTGACACATTTTGAGGAACACAAACATCCCGTTCAGAAGGGAGACCTTGCTAAGACTCTTTTGTCAGTATATGTAAACCTTTTTCTTTTCAATGTCCCTGTATTATCCTCTTGTGTAATTATCCTAAATACTTGTTTCCTGTCGTTGCCAGGCATTTTCTTGCCCTGCAGTGTGTTTTTCTTTCTTCCCCTCCTTTCCTTCCTGCTTCTCTCCCTCTCTCTCTCTCTCTATTACGGACAAAACTGCCCTGAACATTTCTTGTCCATCTTTGGTACCATGTGCTTGCATTTCTGCAGGGTAGATTCCTACAAGTAGAATTTCTATGTCGAAGGGGATGTACACACAACATTTTTACTGTTATTATTTTTAAGGTTTTATTTATTTACTTATTTCCAGAGAGAGGGGAAGGGAGGGAGAAAAGGAGGGAGAGAAACGTCTGTGTGCAACAGATGCATCAATGGGTTGCCTCTTGCATGTCCCCAGCTGGGAACCTGTCCACAACCCAAGCATGCGCCCCGACTGGGAACCAAGCCCCTGATCCTAGGTTCGAAGGCCAGCACTCAAGCCACTGAGCCAGACCATCCAAGGCTACGTACAACATTTTTATAGGTACTGCAAAGGTCACACCAATTTATACAAAGTACCCGTATGTTGAACTGGGCCACAAATTGAATTGACCTTGTGTTAAATACAGAGATGTTCAGGAGAAAAAAACCTCTCTCTCCTCTTCCATTATTGAGTCTCTCTGCCTGGGAAAAAGTTGTTTTTCTCCATTTATTGAAGACTTTTTAAATGTCCTTCTTATAGTGTGTGTGCATTTTCTGCATAGTTCTTAAATTTATTTCTTTGTAGTTTAGTTGCCCCCCCATTTTGTCTAGTATCTGCTCTCCCATTAATTAATTTGGTGATTGATTAGAGAAAACCAACTAGTATATATTATACATGTTATTTTTACATATGAATTCCGTACATGCCCATGTTCTGAAAGTCTGTTATCATTTCTAATGTTTTTTCAGTTGATTTTCTTGCATTCCCAATCTGTGCAGAGATATTATTGCATATTGGGTGAGAACATGGGTTCTGGAACCCATCTGCCTGGGTTCAAGTTTTGCCATCCACTTAAAACCTTTGTTAACCTCAGTATAAGTTAATTTTACCTTAGTTTTTCAGGTATAAAAGGGACTTAATGATAGTACTTCTCATAGGCTTTTTATGTGGATCGGTAAGATGCTTAAAACTGCCTGGCACATAAAAGGTGCTTAGCAAACATTTACAGATGAGTTGATCTCTGCATTATGTAACGGGGCATTTTGATACTCCCAATTTTGTAGCTGAGGAATTGAGGACCATAGAGGTCAAATGACTTGACTATGGTCTGTGAGGATAACAAAGATAAATCAGACTAAACCCACTAGTAAGGGATTCTAAGTTCCTTGGGGCATAAGTCAAGGGCCATGAGTAAAGCTGTGGGAGGCATCAGGAGAAAAACATGGGCTTTGACATCTGTCCTGTGCTTAAACTTCCTTCTGCAAGTTGGTAGCTTCTTCATCATTTTTCCCCCCCTCCATCTAAATGTGATCAGTTCCATTGCTATTTGAGAGTTGCTATTTTGGTCAGAAGAAATAGATGTGAGTCTAACAGAACTTGGATATGTATTTGGAGCTTAATAAGTGGTAGCTATAAATAGGTACAGTGTAAAGTATAAGGTGAAAGCTTCCTTCGATATTCAAGCCCCAGTTTGAGAGCTGAACCAAAAGGCATCGGTGGGAAGAGCAGCCGCAGAAGAGTGGGTGCAGCACCCTGCACAATGACGGACGATTAAAGTCCAGCAACGATAAAATGTCCCCTCCTACCCATCCACCTCTCCCTAGCCAGCCCTGCCCTCCTGCAGCTTTCTGCCTTTGTAGAGAAAGGGAAAAAAAACAAAAACTAAAGCCAGGGCACAACTTCCTCCAGCAGAGACCGAACACAGGGGTGCATAAAAGTAGGTTTACGGTTGTTCTTTGTGGGCCTTCACTATTTATACATTCTTGTAGTCTACTTGCTATACTCAAGCACACTTTGGGCAAGAGTGTAAACCTACTTTTGCCAACCCCATGTGTGATGTTTCCTGATCATTCTATAGAATCCTTTACTTTCATCAGAGAGCAGAAAGAAAACATGGTAAAGATATTGATCTTTCTACTGGGAATATTATCAAATCTCCAACTATTCTCCTGGCAGTACACCTGTATGGACTTGGTAATCCTGTATGCATGATAGCATTAAAGCCTTCAAGCTACAGCTATTAATAAATAAATAAACAAACAAAGAAGACAAATGAATGTCCTCAAGGATGACATTCATCTGAAGTCCGTGTAAAGGGCTTCAGCACTTGAGAAAAAGGATTGGTGTTTGTGGTTGGAGGAGATCGGGTCGGCTTTTGGAAGAGGCCCCTTTTGAGCTGAGCTTTGAGGATTGTGTGAGAAGAAATGGGTCTGGAGAGATCGTTGGAACTGGATCGTGAAGAATCTTGGAGAAGAATTTGGAC